TTTATCACTGTTTTTGTAAGGCTAACTATGTACAAAGGCGGGATTACCTTTCGATCAATACATGTTATTGTTTTAAAGATGTGCTAGACGAGGCTGACACTTGTAAACAATACAACGTGAATAAGCATCGCGGGCAGGATTTCAAGGATCGCGGGCGAAACAAAAGCGACGCGGCTGTTTGTCTAAGCGACGCGGGCCCGCAGTCCTTGAAAGGCCTGGGGAGAACACTGGTCGCTTGACACAGACATTATTTTATTCCATATACTTAAAGCTGTCAATATTCATGACACAGTATCATTTTCATTTACAGGAGAATTACTACATATCAATGATGATTTGAATAATGTCTTTGTAAGGTATGATAGGTTTGAAAGGTATAGGACTGGTCAATCTGGCCCTCAAGCGCCAGCTACCGATTTGCCTCCTGCCTACACAAAGGTATTACTTAACAGATGCATACTGACCTAATACTGTTATTTTATACTTTCGTTAGTGTATATACATAAGTGCATGTGATTCTAATGTGTTTGGCTTGTTATTACTCGATGTCTGGATAAATTACTAACTGGATTCCCAAAATATTCTTATCAGCACACTTTCATGTGTGGTTTAGCGTAGTTATATTACTCATAATATCAGTAACACATGCTATTGAATTAAAGAAAACAAATGTACCTCTTTTCGTGTGGTGCATGTATTTTTACACGAAACACGGGAACCATTCAGTACCATTCAAAATATCAGTACAGTTCTCATTGCATATCAATTATGATAGCATGTATGCACGTGTATATGGTGTAAAGGTAACCCCAATTAGTTAGTATATCCTGAAATCCTTACCACACCTGTGTATATTTATGGGAACTAAAATAACTCTGTGTTGTCCATTGTCATAATTTTTTTATGTTTTTATTTTGTGTGTGTATTATATTTTTTTCCGTCCAGGCTGTTTCTCCCCAACCCCAACAAACCCCACAACCACAACCAACAGAATCTGAACCAGCCATGGGCCAACTAATCGATCTAGGTTTCGATCCTCCAACCCCTCAGCCAAGTGCAGCGGCAGCAATGCCAGTGTCTACGCAGTTACCTGGTGACAACACCGACTTGACGAAACAATTAGCTGGAATGAGTAAGTATTCTCGGGCTCTATGTCATCAGACACCATGTTAAATACCCATGAGCAATTTTTGATTACAGGAAAATCTAACCTGATGACAGTAGTGCTTCAAAAGTCATGAATACAGTCAAGACTGGATTAACAAATAAGATTTAAATTTACCTTTTAAATGCTTCTTTTAACCATTGGAGCGCCATATTTTTCTAACATTGTAAGTGGTGTTGCAAAATGTCTTCTACAGTCAAACCTGTGTATAGCTACCACCAAAGGGATCTCATTAAAATGGTCTTTATAGACCTGTGGTCTTCATATGGAGGTTGGATGAATTTTATATACTATTTGTATACAAAATAATTAGATGGTTTTGTAGAAACAAAAACACATTTATTTGAGTTGATCAAAGTATTGCTGAAAGGCGGTCACATAAAACAGGTGTTTTTATACACAGGTTGCTCATATGTTAAATTGTGGTGGTTGCCGCTGCTATTTCATGTGCAATATGGGACCACTACACAATGACCACCGCCTGGTTATCACTATAGGCAGGTGGTCTTTATAACGTAGTGGTCACTGACACACGTTTGACTGTATAAAAGAAAACAGACGTAATATGTCTCAACACTGAATAGTTTACTTCTGTTAAAGGTCAGCTTGGCTGTCATTTTGAATTATTCAAATTTTTGTTTTGTTTTACTTACATAATTCCTATTGTTTATAATCCTTTAAATAGATGAGGGAGGGCAAGGAGGGATAGCTGGTACAGGTTAGAGAAAATAAAAACAGCATTTTATGTTTTTACAGGAAATAAAATGAAAATTCCATTTACAGTAAAAAATAGTTTTTTAGCTCCGCTGTCGACTTTGTCGAGCAGAGCTTATCATATGAGTGATTGTCCGTCGTCATCGTCCGTATCAATGTTTTACTTTTTCGACTTCTTCTTGAAAACTACAAGCCTGAATACTTTGATACTTGGTGTATATGTACCTTGGGTAGACCTCTCTTAGGTTTGTTCATTTCGTGTTGATATCTTCAATTCTCTAATTTTGGTGAATATTTTTGTCATTTTTGGTAAAAAGTGATATTTTCGACTTCTTGTTGAAAACCGCAAGTCCAATTGCTTTGATATATTATACATATAGGTACTACATGTGGACCTCTCTCAGATTTGTTCATTTTCTAATGATATCTTCTGTTCTTTAATTGCCATGTGCATTGCTAACAGCGGAGCTATCTCAGCCGACAGGCTGCTTGTTACACTTTACAGATAAAGCAAATTCCTAATTACATTTTACATTTTTATAATATTTTTGATAATTTGTGTATAAGAATCAAATTTGGAAATTGCGTATGAATTACAACATTAAATTTGGGAAATGCTTTATACGCTTACAAAAAATAAGATCTTTGTACAAATTACAGACGAATAAAATAGCTGATCACATTTTATACTTGCCCATGAACGAAATTACTTTTTTTATTAAACAATTGATTACCGATACTGCTTACAAAAATAACCCTCGCCAACCTAATAACATCTTTATTGATTTTAGTCTCACAGAATCCCCTCCTACAACAATAATGCTATACAATAGTGGATGACAACGCTGATGTTGTGCCTTTAATCCATTAGAACAATAAGCCATATTCCGCTCACTGTGAGATCTTGCGTGGCCAAGCTTTACGTCCTTAGCAACCAGTTTCAATCACCTGACACAGGTCATGAGCAATTCAAGAGCAATTCTCGATTTCATCTAAAAGGATTACAAGAATGGTTGTTTTTTTACACGTTTCCCAAAACCAAAAACACAACCTGGGAAATATGATCGGTGGATCAGTGCCTGTTCTCATGCCAATGACCATGACGTTGAAAGGCACTTGATCACACAGGACACTTACAGTACTTGACCATATTAGCGCCCACTGTCCTCACTCAGAAAATCGTAATTATTTAGGGAGTGGGCGCATACGACAATTTTAATTGACTATGCGGCAAATTGGGAGAGATATTATGTCTTTGAGGGAAATAAAATTACAAAATTAATTGCGATGTCATTGAATGAAGAAACAGAAATGGTCACAAAAAATATGCACATTTTATTACAATATTAGTTACGTACCACTCGAATTTACGAGATTAAAAATATTAGTCTGTTGAAACACATTCAAAGTCAAAATCTTCATCATTATCTTCATTGTCAAATGTTTTGGATTGTACGCAAACTCTCAATGAAAAGCATGACATCTTCTTGCACGATTTGACCTAATGGATCAAGTCTGTTATTAACCAATCAGAATGCTGTAGTTCTTTAGAAATTCTGGTAACGCAGTGTGGAAGTGAATTATCAATGTCAAAGTACGATCTGTTGAAATAGATTTTTTCAAAAACTGGTAACTAGCACTTTATCGGAGGCAATGTTCTGATATTGTCACATCTAGACCCAATACCACTCACTGCAAGGGGTGTAGAATTCGATGTTGAAACACCAAATTTACGTAAAAGGCTCTTGAGCCATGGCACTGTGTGTTGTTGACATCTTCCATCATATAAACATAAAAAGAACAATAAAACAAACGCATCGCAAGCGTGGAAATAAGGTCAACAAAAACGCACAACATTATGCAAGGACGCCATTTTGAGCCACAGTTTGACTGTGTCACAAAGCTGACAATCGTTGTCAGAGTATCTCGCAGGATCTCCCAGTGAGTGTCAACAAAATTGTCAACAAAATATGCTTAGTTAGTTTAGAAATTAGTATGCAAATTAACATATGCAGATTACTTTCATAGTTGTGTTAGATTTTCAACTACATAACAGTATGTAAGTTTCAATTCATTTGAGCAATTTTATTGTAATGATATCAACAAAACATTCTGAAATTAGATTATTATGCAAATTAGCTAATCTGTCACGAAATATATATGGTATGTATCAAAATGTACCCAGTGACATGCACACACATACAAATCCCTCAACACATCAGTATGATATTGGCCTCCCATTTGTTCTCTGCACACAGGAGTCAACTAGACTCGTTTTCATGACACATGGCTCCTCCATTCTTTCAGGTGTTACAGGAGGAAGTGTGAGTAGTACTTTAGGTCAGTTGAACACTATGCCAGCAAATACACAAGATGAATTTGATATGTTTGCACAAGCCAGGCAAAACACTTTTGAAGACAGTAGGAAAGGGTAAGTTTATCAAAGGACAAAGTCATTAACAGTAAATTACTAGTAACTGTATTCTAAGCGCCCTCATTGTTGGGTATTGAAAGTTATTTTGTTTTTATCAGCTTTCCTAATATTCAGTAGTTGTTTAGGTGTCTTTTGATGGGTCACTTGAAATTGTTGTAGTAGACTGTTTTACTCACAATAAAAATAGACAACCAATCTCCTTGGTTTCTGCTTAATTTAGGATATGACATAAATGTTTTCCTTCATATGTTTTCAGTGGTAGCACATATTCGGATAACACCAATATTGATCAGTCTGGTGGAATAGCTGGCATTGTAAATTCCAAGCACAACAATGGGCAACCGGTAAGTCTGAAACATGTCTTACATTTCAATTTGTGAAATTTTAAATGTGATTTAATTTGTTATTATTTATGCACTTTATTTGTTTCCATTATATTTATTTGATAACTGCATATTTTGTATTTTTAAAAAAAGCGAAACAAAATTAAGTAACAATGATATTGTTATTTATATAAAGTCAGTTGAAGTGTCACTATGCAGTGAGACAAGTGTTTGACATGGATTCACTTCCTGTCACCAGAACTACACAGTTGTAGTCAGTTATTTTGAAAGTTCACAAACTTTTCAAAAAATATAGAAAACATGTTTTACATATATACACTCAAAATGAATAAGAATCTGTATGTGCCTTTGTAAAACATTTCTTTGGGCACAACAAGCATGTATATTCAGCTCATGAAAAACAGGACAACTGGTTGCAAAATTGACCCCCTTGGCAACCATGAAGCACTACTGATTGCTAAAAAACAAAATACAAAATGGAAAAAAGTAATGCTTGCCTCCCTTAATTTTGAAATTCAGTTGTTTAAGTTAAGATTTAAAAATTGTGGAATATTGCTGTTTCATGTGTGGCTAGATCCCCCCAGCCAGTACAGAACAACTGGAGGAAATTGAACAATGGTTACAACAAACAAACATGGTAAGATATCATGACCTTTGCTTGTGCATCACCTCTAACTGCACCAACAGCACTGGTGTGCATTGATCATTCTTCAAGTAGCATTTCTACAGTGGCCTAGGGGGCATTCATTCATACACAAACCTCTTAACCATGAGTGTGAACATAGATTCAGAACCCAGCCCCCCTTACTATCACATTATGTGGTGTGAAATTAATTCTCAACACTGATCATCATAAAAAATAAATTGCTGAAGTTTATTTTTTAAATATATTTTCTCAAAAACAATTAAAAAATTAAAGTCTAAACAGGGACTAGGAGAAGTATTGTAGTTCATTTGAATCTGAAGCAGGGTTGTCTGGATCTGAATGTGATGCTGGGTTTTGAATCTGAGGCTGGATCTGAATCCAACTTAATGCTTGTCTCTTAATCTAATCAGTAGTTCTCCTTAACCAGACATGCTTGGTCTTATCTGTGAACTTTCACTAACATTCAGTGTGGAATTGGTTTGGTTTGTTTTGTTTTGTTTTTCTTTTGATTATTTATTGCTATATATTGTTTTGTTTGATGGTACGTGTACTGTTTACCACATGGTGTTCACTTTACATGCAGTGTATGTTGACCAGTGTTACAATTTGTCAACAGTCTAGTCTTTCCATATAAAGAAATCATTTACATACATTTGCATACAGCTTTCAACCAATCACAGTTCATTAAATCTATACTTTTGACAGGAATGTTTGAAAAAAAAGTACTTGTGTAATGCATTTGTGTAATATGTCAGTGGTGATTTGCAACTGGAGAGGAGAGCTCGATGGTTTTATAAAACATTTTAGACAGACAAACCTATATTAAAAATTTTAAAAATTACAAAATTTGTTACCCAAATTGTTGAATGTTTTCAAAATTGCAGTGTGTGACTTTAATATCATACACAGTAATTTCTTGCTGCTGCTATCTTTCTGTAGTGTTCACATCTTTCAACTCAAAATAATCTAAAGGAGCATGCCAAGACTAAACCATTTCTGCTTTTGACTTGTATACTATATTAAAAGCAAACTTGTGTAGTTTTTACACACACCTGTGGTGTTCTTCTTTCTGATATAACAGCATATAGATAGGTAGATTTAGGGGTCAGCCATTTGAAATCGTGGGGGTGGCTGGAAGATTTGTTTAAAAAAAATGTGTTGTGAGGTAAACACTTTGACAAATTCAAGAAACATAAGAATGTTCAAACAAGACCGCGGGAAAACATTTGCACTGGTCATGCTCTTCCAGTTGCTCCCCCTGATTTCTAATGTTGACCTTCAGTAGCCATGAGCGTTATAGAACATTTGTTGTGTATGTTACACATGGTGTCACATTGCCATTGGTTAGATCTTGCTCAGGGAAAGGACTTTTTTGTGATCCTTAAATACTACTGCATTTTCCTTATCTAGGACAAGAAAAAAGACGATTCATTGACAGAAGCAAATACAAATCAAGAACCACTTACAAGTTCTGGTGAGTAACATGTGCTGTTTTTGCAACTTTTGTTCCATTTGTAATTCTTTCTACTAGTACATCTTTAAATCAATGTAGTGTGAGTGTGTGTGCATGTTTGCGTGCATGCATGATGTTTATTTCTGTTTTATTGTACTACTAAAAGTATTTGCATTTTACTGACATACTGTACCTGATTTTGTAAGACTATTGTAAGGCCAGACTTTTATTATCCCTTGTTTTGCAAACCCGCCAAATCAACAGGAGCCGAAAATGAAATAAAAATAAAATTTTATTTCAGCGTAATTTCTCGCGCCAGCCGACTTGTAAGTGCAAAAAATTGTTGAAAAAAACTTATTTTTTTCTTCAATTTTTTTTTTGCACGCCGCATAACAAACCCTATTTGTATTTTCGTGGGAGTATCATGATCAAAGTAGTCTCATGCAGATGAGAAACAAGGTTATACATCGAATAAAATTTTATTTCATTTCTTCTCTCCGATCAATGATCTCATTTACAATTCTTTGAGAATCACACAAATCTAATGGAAAAAAGAATTATTATTTGTTTTCCTCGCCCTCCTCAAAAAAATTGTCTTATAAAAACTCGAGAAACAAGCAATAAAAAAAGTCTGGCCTAACAAGTGTTTTTCCTAGAATAATTTGTATCATATGTAAATCACTTGTATTGATTTCGTTTTAATAAAAGAGCTCTGTTGTTTATCCACAACTAAAGAGTAGGAAGCCCTTACTCTATAAGTCCCCAGGAGAACCCTGAAATGATACTGTACAAGCACTAATTTCCACTGACTTTTATATTCCATTGTTTTGTGCTTTTTCACTGGATTTTATTTTAATGTTGCTCATTCCATGGATTTAATTTAGTGGATTGGTATGAAAATGGAGTACCTAAAACTTATGTATTTGCAGTACATAATTGTATTCACTGTAAGTGAACACAGTGTCTATCGATGGTGAAGTTCTGAAATTTGTGATCTAAAGGACTTGCAATAATATTAAAACAGGGCTAGACACTAAAGGTTGTCCTATAGCCAAGAAACAAATGAAATTGCCATTCAGTCAACTGAATATTCGCTTTCCTTTATATCAGACTACTGGTATATTAAAACAGGGCTAGACACTAAAGGTTGTCCTATAGCCAAGAAACAAATGAAATTGACATTCAGTCAACTGAATATTCGCTTCCCTTTATATCAGACTACTGGTATAGTAAGTATAGTGTCGAAATATATTTGGACAAGTGAGTTTAACCTGTAATTTCTTTGCCTTATGCATTCCAGAATTTGACAGGTTTTTGGCAGAGAGGGCTGCAGCTGCTGACGCACTTCCAGATATCAACGATAGATCGGCATCCCAGCCGGTATCTGCCAACCGAAATAGGAGACAAATACAGATGGAAGAAACAGATAATACAATGTTCGGCCTATAGACTTAAATATCCATTTAAATAATGGTTAGCTTAGATCGGGGTATGGGTGGGTATGAACAGGCATGATATTAAAGTTTACATCAAGGAAACATCAAGATTCTTTTGATGGTATATTTTAATTCAAGAATATATTGACTTGCAGTGAGTCTGTTTTTTTCTTTCATTTGGAAGCAGTGATGCTAATCTGTTTTTTTCAACATATGTGACTTCCATCGGACAAGTTGCAATAATTTCCTCACTTGGTAGATTTTCCAGTTTTGTGTGAAATCGAATGAAATTTGTCAAATTTTTAATTTTAAAGCAGTTTTTTAGTTGAGGGGCGACCTAACCAGATCGAGATAGTACTGAACACTGCAGTGTAAATTAGGGTAGAGGTCCATAAGATCGTCATGTCTTTTTAGCTGAAATGTTATTTTAGCTAATTTAAAATAAAATATATTCACACGTTGAAATTTTTGGCACTTTAGCTATAAAATTAAGGTTCTGGTAGTTCAATTTCAACTTGATGTACAGTATTTGCAGTTTGTCAAAATTACTGTTAGCTTTAGTTCCATGTGGGACAAATGTTCGTAATTTTCTGCGACTTTAGGAGAGTGCTAAATATTTTGGCAATGACATGTGCCCTGAAATTATTAAACTGCAAAATTGAGACTTGTGAAAATTAAACGATTTACAGAACATATTATATTCAAAGAAATTCCAACTTATATCCTCATGTAGGTGGGCTTTAGATGTTCTATACCAAATCAAAACGAAAAAAAAAAATTTTTTGACTTTGTAACCTTGAATGTATACTCTGATGCTAAGAAAACCATAAAAGACTCTTTTTTAATTTAAAAAAAAAATACAGATGTAAATAAGGTTTTAAAAAAATTTCAGTAAAACTATTGAAGTTTATGTTCAATAATTAATAATCGTGATAGAAATTCATATAGTTGTATAAAACCGCACAACAGAAACCATTGTATCAAGAGTAAGGAACTGAGAACATCAAAATCTGCTGCTGCTGCTACTTCTTGAAATATTAATGTAATTCTTATGGTTGAATATTGTCCTTTTAAAAAAAACACATCTAAAGATTTGATTTTCAGCCTGAGGTCATGAAGATGAGGCAGGAACAAACAAATGCTTCTGAAATGGTAGCTGAATGCAATATGATTACTGTAAAATAATTTATTTTAGCTGTAATTAATTTTTGCTGAAAAGACGTTTTAGGTGTTTTGCATGGAATTTATTTTCATTGATTTTTGATGAGTTGAATGTAAAATATAGAAAAAAAGGTATATACGCTGGATTTTATTTTCACTGATTCATTCCTTCAGCGAAAATAGTGAAAATTAATTCCAAGCGAAAATAAAGTATTTCTCAGTACCCTATTCTCGTGTTGACATTGGGACACTTAAAGCCTGGATGATGATGATGATGATGATGATGATGATGATGATGATGATGACGATGACGACGATGATGATGACGATGATGATGATGATGATGATGTGTAGTATTAATTTGCTGGATGATATACACAGTTTAAATATCTAGCTTGAAATAAAGTAAATATTCCAGTCAGTTCTTGTATATAGTTATTAAAGTGTCATAATTTGCTTGGAAGCAGTTAACAAAAATAACAATGGGTGATTTTCCATTCATTGCAAGATCTCCCATAATGATCTCGCAAAAATTGATTCGATTTTGAACTTTAATTTTTTTTCTTTTTTTATAGCTCAATGCCAAAATGCAAATCTTTCAGAGGAGAATTAGAGCATTGAGATACCCTTCATCAAAAGTGTACAGTAATCGTTATTCGTGGGAATACCCCCAAAATACTTTCTCATTTGTGAAATCTTAAACTTTTGTTTGTCATGTTTTTACATTCAATTTCACACATCCCGTGGGATCTCTCAGTGAATGGAAACTGGTCTATTTTCTTACATCTCTGAAAAAACTCGCCATACTAGTATTCTATTATTAGTGACATTTCCAATCCCCGATTAATGATGGACACAGGCAACTAGTTAAAATGTGGAAAATTTACTGTCGTCGCCATATTGTTCTGAACACCAACATTTTGCCATCTATTTTATAGCAATGTACATGATTGAATGAAATGAAAGGCAACTGCATCGTGATCATCTATTTATATTCAACATGTCTGACTCGCCCACTATTAGATTGATGTATCCTGTATCCCAATATGTTCTAATCAAATATCAATCTCCATGCACACATTACAAACCAGTCAGGAACATTGCTGATGTTGCCGTTTTGGTTTTTAGAACAATATAGTGGTGACAGTTACAGCTCTAATTCTTGGTATTTTGCAGAGTGAAAGATTTAAATTTTTGAATTGAACAATTTTCATACAATTGGGGTTTGTAGCAGTCACAGAAGGGAATAATTCAGTGAAATTACATTGTGTTAAGCCATGTCCATTCTCAAGTTTTCAGCCGGAACAGTTCATCACATGTTAAAATGTTTGATTTGAATAAGTCATTACTTTCTGATTACACTAATTGCCTTTGGTGAAATATAAAGTATTTTATATGTAGAATTATATGGCCACAATCTTAAAGTTGTGATGATACTGATACCTTAAATGTATTCTCTTTCTTACATACCTTTAATATCTTAATATATGAATGAGTTGCCTTGCAGGGAAGTATCAATAAATGATTCACCATCTCATTGTATTGGTTGTTTGTGAATGAAGAGTTCTGCATGTTACTCAGACATCGAGTTGTATGAATATTTATCACATGTGATCATCCATGTGATATTGTGCTAATATTATACACTTTATCAAAATTTGAAACTCCAAAATATTGCTCATTTGCCGACGAGACAATATACCGTATACTAAATGCAAATTTTAATGTTTCTAGAATGTACTGAAATTTTAGACATCTGTTAAAGGTGATTTTAATATTGAAAATGCCAATCCAATCTTGCCAACAATTGGTTTCTCCCAGCTGAATGTAATGATCAATATTCAAAGGTTGTTGAAAAGTTGTGACTAATGTGGAGCTATACTTTTATCATTTGCAAATACATCAGAGTTGGTGTGGCATGCAAAAACGTTGTCCACATGTTTCATTAACACAAATGTGTGTATTTAATAGAACCTTGAACACCATTATTTTATCTTAGAGAGTGCGAACGAGTCCCTGTGTACGCATACAAAACGAGTGCGACGGTTTATACCACTTTTGGTCATGTGACCAATTATTCTGGCTATTCGCTTTTAATGGTAGTAAAAGTACAACTACCATTAATGTACTTGTAGCCATCCTTCAACTAGCAGCTATCGTTCTAACAGACCACTAATCTACTACAGCGGTTTTCATTCAGCAATTACTAGGAAAATACTTTCTTCCAGTACCATTTTACTTGTTTCTTTATTTTTAATACCCATGTACTAGAAGAGGACTCGAGTGGAGAGCAGAACACCCCCCCCCCCTCGCTATTTAGCAAGACACGAATGTCAGTCCCAGTTATTTAATTATAAAATACTCCTGTTAAAATAATACATGGAACATCTGCAAACAATTAAATTAATATGTACTCTATGTGGGTATAACTCATCATAAAGTGATTTCCCTTATTCTGATAACTGAACTTTCATTGACCCGGGTGCAACCAAACTATCTATGATACATGCTCAAGGTCATTGTATATTACCAGGACCTGGGTTTGTTTCAGTATCGCCACTATAATTCCCATCAAAATGTAGCCCTGACACCCTCTTTAAAGGTTTCCACTGAGATTGGTAATGGTATGATCCCTCTGTCACTGATTCAGATCAAGGTTATGACATCACTAAAAACCCTAGCATAACAATCTAAGCTAATTATTTATTCTGAGCATGCTCAGTTGTTCTCTCATTGGTGTTGGGAGAGGTAATTTTGGATGAAAAACATGAAAAAGACCAACTTAGGATTTTGAGATCTGGAAAAAAAAATTGTGTGCATATTCGGCAGAGACTTGTTCATCAACCTGCCAAGTTTCATCGATATCTGCTGCAGAATTCCCGGAAAAATGTTAGACGTCACAGACGAAAACTTGAAATAAAAAATTAATAGTCCGCCTTTCAGGCTGCACCTGAAACGGGGACTGAAAAGCAGGTTGCTTGTGGTTGGAAGTGTTGTTTACTATGATATGTACATGATTCAGGTATGACATCTACATGACATTGGCCCATTGTCCTATACGACCTAAAACTCACTCTCTTCGCAGTATTACTTTACATTAACGGTAGTTAATGTAAGAATACTGCGAAGAGAGTGAGTTTTAGG